CCTTCCTTCCTGTGCATGACCATGCTGCCCTTCTGCAGGATTCAGTTCCTGACTGTGAGAAGCAGCACAGCCTACAGCCAGGGAATGCTGTCTTCCCTAGACCCCTGCTCTGATGGGTGCAGCACGTTGTCTTAGGCTCACTTCCTCATTCCAGTGTCATCATAGCACAGTGCAAGATGGATTTCCAGTGCCACCAACTGAAACAGCTGTCATGCCTTTCTCTTTAAAAATCAAATGCAAGCAGAACAAGCAAACCCAACAACTTAAGATACAGATTTGAGATATAGATCTACCTTTCCTGGCCAAAACAAAGTGATTTGATTTTTATGAAGGTTAATGCATAACCTCTCTGAATTTCATTAATTTTTAATCACTTCTCTCTCACTTCCTTTCAACATTTACAGGGGGCTTATAAGAAAAATGGGTATAGAGCTTTCAGCAGGGCCTGGAAGGGTAATGTTTTTAAATTGAACTAAAGGTACAGTATAAGGAAGAGATATTTTATGATGATGGTGGTGCAGCACTGAAACAGGTCACCCAGAGCAGTGGTAGCTGCCTGATATCTGGAACCATTCACAGTCAGATGTGACAAGGCTCTGAGTAGCCTGATCTAGTTGGAGATACCCCTGCTCATTGTAGGGAGGCTAGAACAGATGACATTTAAAGGTCCCTTCCAACCCAAACTGTTCTGATTATGTGATTTACTAACAGAAATACTGAACGAGACTGTTGCATTCACACACCTTGTAGATGGATGGAGCAGAGAGGTTTGGAAAGATGATTTATTAAGAGAAGATGGTGACTGTCAGCCAAGTCATGGACACTCCTGGCATGCCCAGGCTCTGAAGAGAGCAGCCAATTGGGTCTTTCTTTGTTGCTCCTGAGAAAGTATCATCACAGGTCACAAGGATGCACTGCCTGAGCATAAAAATGCCACAGACCCAGGTTGCTGCTGTTTTGTGAGGAGGGTGTCAGTCCCCCATTTATCCTCCCTTATAGTATAGCCAGCAACATACACTTTCCTGTGGTTGTTTTGTAGCTATCTGCTGAAGTACACAGAATAACTATTTCAGGATTTATTAAGTTTGGTTCCAAAGATTACTGAATGTTGGCAGCAATGCTTTTGCCATTTCCAAGCCTATAAATGGACAATTCTAATAAAATAGATGTTCTATAGACTTGTGAGACTTGTGCGACTTGTTATACACTTATTTCTAAGTATAGATCTCTTGAGTCTACCAGACTGTGTTTTGGTTAAATAAACCAAAACACACAGTTCTTCACTATTCAGTTGAGCTTTGCACTTTCTGTGCACACCAACTTCTTAATGTGAACTGGCTGCACAGAACTTGGTGGGAGCCAGAGAGTTGGATGACTCTGGACTTCTGCATCATCATCTCATTTGTACCATACCATCACAGCAAGCAAATAGTGATTATAAAGGGAAATTTACCATGCATTTCCTCCATGCAATCTTCAGTAAGTCCTGCTTCAAAGTATACCAACAAAAGATCAGTTGTCATTGAAACAAAGCAAGTAGCATCAGCCTTGCTGATTTAAGGATTTTCTGCAAAGCTTCAAAGTGTGCTGTGAATAGCTAGTGGTTTTCACCAGTTTAGGATAGTCTGGATTCTTTCTCTCTTTGGGTGTTCAAACATCTGAAAACATTCTACAGATCACAGTTAATGAAGCACAGTCTCAGCACATCCAGTATTTTACATGTCTAATTGCAGCAGCTGTGGTTTTATTGACCCATCTTATATTGCAGACATATTAACATCTCTTCCACACAGTGGAATTTTAATCTAGAAGTGATCAGCATTTAGTCTGCCTGCATTTGTGCCCTTGTTTCTAGAAACCATCATCTTTAGGCAAACAATTCAAACCAGCTGTCTTTGACAATCAAAAACATGTTTGCTAAATTAAAAAAAAAAAGAAAAAAAGAGGAATGCAAAGTTAGTGATTTCATTTAAATTTCATCAGATTATTGCTATAAGTAGTGGCTTCCATCAAAATAGCCTCATCTAATTCCCAATAAATAAATCATGAGCAGTTATATTTCTCTGCTCACCATACCAAATGGCAATCTTCTTGTCAGTGTCTTCATGAGTGTTACTGACGGTAACCCCAGGAATAATGTCAAAAGTAGTAACTTTCTGGTAGCTCCGGTTTCCCTGTCATACTCCAGCTGTGAATGCACTGCATTTTTTCATAGCTCTAGCACTGCTTTCCATGCCAGTCAAAAATACTTTCTCTACTAGCACTAACATCCAAAAACTTCTGTCATACAAATACATCCAGTTTTAACATAAAAAACTCTCTCAGTACCTTTTCATATGGTAAAAAACCAATATGGCTCTGTTTTTTGCCAAATACTAGCACTTATGGTGTGGACTTAAAATACATATTACTTGTAGTTCAACAGTTACTATTTGAAAAGTTTAAAAAAATACAGTTAAAAAAATTCTTATCTTAAATCACAGTATGTGGCTCAAGATTACAATTTTATGACTGCAGTCCCATGGCAGGAATCAACACTAAATGCACTGAAAACTCATACGAGCCTGAGTCAGAATCTCAAGTACTGAAGAATGTTATTCTTGCAATCCCTTCTTTCATTATGGAGGTCAAGTCCTTAAGCTCAAGACTACAAGAAACCCAAGTGGCGGATGGAGGGGAAAAGCTGATGACAGGCTTTGTAGACAGAAATCTTTTTTAGGTGGAGGCAAGCAAACAAGCTTGTTAACTATTATGACTGATTTTTTATTTTTTTTTAAGTAAAATTCTCAACATGTTAGGTTTGGTACAAGAATTATTTACATAAAATAAAAAACTATTTATGTAACAGGAAAAGAGAACATATATCACAGTGGTGGTCCACTAATTTACTAGTATCAGAGGACCAAAGAAAGCTTAGCCTAACAAAATACTTTATTCAGAAATGTGCTCCATATAATTGTTTTTATTAATTATTTAAGCTCTATGTTGAAAAAACAATGGAACCAGAATCATGTGCTAGAAAACTGACATACAAACCTATCTAAATCTCCTTGTGTCTCTGTTGTCAGACTTCATAAAATAGTCTGATTCTACCTTTGACGCTCTCTCGCTCTTGGCGAGAATTAATCTTCAGCTTGTGTTTTTAAACAAGCACAGCTCATTTTCTTTTGTTGTCTTCAGACTTTAAGAAAAATCTTTATAGGAATATGATGGGGGAAACCTCATTATAGAACACAGGAACTGTTACTTCCCAATATCCTTACCATGAAACCCTTCAAAGTAGTACTGTGAGTGTTACACAACTAAAGCCCTTCCAGTCAACAGAATTGGGATATAAAACAGTTGAGACATCAAAGGGTCATTAACACTCTGGAGCTCACAGTTCTGGAAACCTCAAAGCCCCATGACAAGCTCCTTCCTACACCCAAATATATTTTCATACACTCTTTGGTTATCAATTCATTTCCCAATTTTCTTTGCTCTCTACCCAAATGCAGATTGCCTGTGAAGAGCTATACAGGATTTTCACCCAATCATACTGTCTAACCAAAGCATCTCTCTGTCAAGCATGATTTTGATGACTCTCTTTTCCTCCTGCCATCTATTTTCCCAGCATCACTCCATCCCTATTCTGGCTCATCTTGTTTTGATTCACATAAACCCAAACGGATTCATCCACATCTCACTGGATACCAGGCTGCTGCTAAACACCTAAGCAAACTTCAGTCACATTGTCTTGGTCCTGCCACTGCTACAGCATTTACAAATGGTGCATCTTGATCTTCCTTCCCTGGCTCCTTGCTTACTCACACAGCTGCTTTTTGCACATCACAACTCTCTCATCTCAGCTACCAAAGCCAGCTTCTTCCTCCTTCCACTTCCTGTACCTGGCAAGAAAGCATCTTCTTCCATTTCCACCAGCTAACGTGGCTCACCACTGAAGCAGATCTGTCACATCTAGGCTCAGCCTGTCTTTAGCTTGCCTAACAAGCTCCCAAGGGTTAGAAGCTGCTGTTAAGGGACTACTACAGGCTCCTGAAACAGAGCCTTGTTCTAGCAATGCCAAGGCTGAGGGTTCAACCCGTGTATGGGCCATTTACTGGAGAGGCGCACCTGATGATTCTTACAGGTTTCTTTCAACTCAGAATATTCTGTGATTCTGTAAAACGGCAAACGTGGCACAGGCATCCTGAGCGGGGCTGCTCGCCTGCCTCACCTCGAAACCGCGGGTATTTCAGGGAACATCTGACTTGGGCCACGCGAACCCGACTCCAGAGCTGCGTGCCACTGCCGTGCACTGCGAGCCGCACCGACACCGGCTGGGCGAGCCCCGAGCCGCCGGGAGCCGCCGGGAGCCGCCGGGAGCCGCCGGGAGCCGCCGGGAGCCGCCGGGAGCCGCCGGGAGCCGCCGGGAGCCGCCGGGAGCCGCCGGGAGCCGCCGGGAGCCGCCGGGAGCCGCCGGGAGCCGCGGGCAGGGCAGGCCCGGCCGGGGGGGCCGCTGGGCACGGGGGCGGTGACGCCGCGCCCGCTGCCCCGGGGCGGCTCGGCCGGAGCTGGCCCGGCCCTGCCGCGCCGCCGGTGCTCAAATAGCGGCGCCGGCCGCGCTGCTGCGGCCTCCGCGCCGCCGCCAGGTAAGGGAGGGGCGCCGGAGCTCTTCGCCGACCCCCGGGGCCCTGCGGCGGTGTAGCCGTGTCGGGGCGGCCGCGGCCCCGCGGGGTTGGAGCGGCTCGGGGGCGGCTCCTCCGCCAGGCGCCGCCGCGGGCGGGCGGGGCCGCGCCGCGGGTCCCGCTGCCGCCGCCATTCCCGTGCGTTCGCTCTGTCCGCTGTGCGTGGGTATTATCCGGGTGTAATCCTGTCTTCTCGCCACACTGCTTCCCCGCTGCTGCCTCCAGGCCATCCCTGAGTGAGGCTGGAATAGCTCTGAAGGGGCTTCTGCAGCTGTTCTGGCGTGCAGTACACTCGTGGCTGATGCTGGCGTACAGGTGAGGAGGTTCAGGTGCTGCTCCGTCACGGAGAGGTTGCCCTGCATCGCTTCTTGCTCCGACATGATGCGTGGCAGCTTTTGGGGTATGGTTCATCTTCCTGAAGCTCTTACTGTGACTAAGACTAACAGACTGAGAATAGACTCTACCTGACGGGCTGGTGTGTGAGGAGGGGTATGCCATGGAATGCTGCTTTTCCTAAATGGAGTAGAGCTTAATTGCTTGCCCGTTAAATTGTCTGGCTTATGCCCTAGGCTGGCCTTAGGAAACTGGGACAGGATGGCTTTAGGTGGCTTTTGGAGCCCTGCATCTCCCTGATAGTCACCATGGCCTGTCCTGTGGTCAAAGATCTGTAAGTCGTTTTGATTTGTGCCTTTTCCTGCTTTGAGATATATCAGCTCCCTGAGACAGACCTTCCTGTGAATTTCTAGAAACTGGTCTGTCATGTGTTACCTGTTCGAAAAACATCAGCTAACAGTATCTTTCTGTTTTATCCCTAGTCTCCTTGCAGATTCTCCAGAATACAGGAGCTGCTTTGCCACAGCTCTTGTGTGCCATTAGTGTGTCCTGAAAAAGCATCCCACCAATGAGCATGGGACCCTTCAGAGCTCATTATTGAATCTGTGTGCTGTCCTAGTTGCCTGCATGGCCTCTAGTCAATGGCTTACCAAGCTTTGCTTTGCAAGCTCCTGGCTGTTTAGAGAGACTTGGGGTCCTCCTGTCCGACTGTGGTGTCAGCATTCTTCCTGGTGAAGTGAGTAAGGGACATTTGTGGACCATCTTTCACTGTAGCTGCTTTTCTCTTGTAGTCTGCAGGGACAGGAATTGGCAGCTTTGCAGAATGCATTTCTGTCTGGCACAGTCAGAATCCCTTATTTGTGCTGATGTGTGGTGAGAAAGATCCCTGGTGCACATATCTCGGGAGAGTGGCAGGGTTCATCCCACTTTCTGGAATTTCTTACTGCAGCTGCTTTCCAGTACTTCTTCAGGTGGCTCCTGCCCCACCTGCAGTGATCATAAATAACAGCACAGCATTAATCTTCCTATACTGTAAGCTGAAACAATAATTTTGTTGACCCTTATGTGCAGAGTTCTTGTGGCATCTACTCCCAGCTTAGGAATCTTTATACACACTGTCTAAACCTTGAAATCTTTTATGATATCTGAGTCTTACATTCTGCGAGACAAGAGCACTATCAGGTACTAATTAATGACCATACATAAGAGGCCAAATTGCATGTATTTGGCATCTCAGAACTTGTTACTGCTTGTAGTTTTGTATCTTAAAAGTAGAACACTGACAGTACATCCTGTTGGGCATTTCCCACTATCTCTTCAAATAAGTGGTTAAAAACACCATGGAGAGGGAAGAGTGTTGGAATGAAGGTTGTGCATTACAATTTAGTTTGACCAGCTCTACTCATGGATGAGTGTCTCTGAATGCCAAATTAAGAGTCCAGTTCAGGTGGAAACTGGGATTTAATGAAGAAAATGGTGTGGGTACAGAAGCAGATATGAACAAAAAAGGAAATTCAGACACAGGGAGCCATTCATACTTTGATATGAAGTTAAACTGACTGAAGTTGAGAACATTTTTCCATAAAAGTAACTTGACCAATAAGGAGTCATGGTTTAATTTGAAACCTGGGGAAAAAAAAAAAATCACAAAAATAATCACACAGTGGCAACTTCCCAGTAGTGATTCAAAACTTGGAAGCATAGGTAAAAAATAGAAAAATTCAAGACCCTGAAAAGGATGGCTTATAAATTCTAATGGGATTTCCATTGTGGACTACAATTGGCAGAGTATTATAGTTTTTGAAATAACTCAGACTAGACCTGAAACTTGTGCATGAAATTATTTGTGTGCTTTTGCAGGCAACAAGAGGGGGAATGGTACCTGCTCTGGAAAGGATAAAACAGAGGGGCAGCAGTGTTTTAATTCTTCCAGTGCTTTTTTATAAATTCCGTTCCTGAATTCATAATGTCTGCATGAAGCTATCAAATTTCATAATATTAAGGGCAAGTAAATTCGTAGCCCTGGTGTTTGCAGTGGAAATCTTCAAAAATATGAACTCTGAAGGCTCAAGAAGAATTGTAGTGGAAGTATTTTTAAATTTTTCTGTAATATGGAAGTTGTACTACAAGTTTTACACAGAAAAATTACAAGAAATGGTGAAGTTATTTCGTGTTTTATATACCTGGCACAGGCCTGATTTACAAAAAGGTAAAGCACGATGTCATTTAAGTTTATAACCAAACTTCATTATAAGCTATGTTTCCAATTCCCTCTTCCTGTCATACTTCAGGGCCTCTACACTAGTGGATTATGTTCTAATGGTTTCTAAGGTGTTATTTCCATGTCTGCTTTCAGACTTGAGTTTAATATGAAGGGAAAATTCCTTTACATCCATATGCCTGTGGAGATCTATATGAGATCTAGTGGCAGTATTTCAAGCACACTGACAATAAAATACTTGCCTCTTTGTTAAAATACTTTTTCTTGAAAACAAGAAATTAATTTTATTTTGCTTTGAGTTTTCTGATAAAATTTCATGGTAGTGTAAATGGAAATTAGTCCTGCCTTGGATTTTCCAGCATAAAATCTGTGGCTTTTATCTTCAAAGCCATAACAGACTGTTCTGAATATTCCTTCTTTGTGGCCTGAAAGAATGAAGAAAATGTGTACATGCTTAATTTCTAATGTGTGTTTTAGCTTAATCTCATAACAACAAGATTGGTCGACGAGAAGCAGGCACTGTGTTGTAGTAAGGAGTACAAGTCTCTAGACATTTCTTTGTAATGGATATATATTTGAGTTTACTTTTTTTTGCCTTCACATTATCTTACTTTGTTTTAATTTGCTTGTATATAAGACTGTGTTTTCTTCCCTAGAGGGAACTGCAAAGAAAGGATTCAGAATTCTCTGTAGAGTGTTGGTGTTATAAAGGTTAATGTGCTTCAGCAGAAAAGTATCTCAAGATGCTTATGTCTGAAACCAGGCTCTGCTGGGATTTATTTATGTGTGTGTGTGTTTCAGAAGTGTTTTACTCAGCTGTGTGCATTTAGCAAGTCAGGAAACCTGTGCCAGCTCAGATAATTTATGAGAATGGGGCATATGCAGTTACCAGAATGAATTTTATTTACTTAGTAAAGACCACTGAAATCAAAGAGGTGATCATCCCAGTCCATGTTTTTCTGCCTAGAAATAGAGCCTTCAGACTGACTACAGCTCATGAAGTATTGAAAGTGTGCCAGGCTAAAGGTCTTCAGTGTGAAATCAATCAGGAGAGGTTAACTTTTTTCCTTGCCTCAGATCTTGTGCTCATTGAGCGTCTCACCTGCATGATGTACTCTGCTTTCTCTTGTGCTCTTGGGGGGCCTGCTTTGATATTCAGCAGCAGAATGTGTAATAATTCCATCATTCATGTATCTGCTCAGCCAGTTCTTTAACTGGGTTCTACTCTTAAAAGTGGCTGAGTAGTGACTCAATAGATTGTCTGGCATTGCAGGTAAATAATTATGTGTTTGAGTCACTGGTGGGTTCTGTGATTGTGTTTAGTTTTCATCCTGGTGGGCACTGCAGTTACTGGGGAGTGACACAAACCTTGTTGTGGTGGACACATGTTCAACAGTTTGCTTACAGAAATTGCAAAATACCTTGTTTTTCTTGTGGAGTAAGTGTACCAGAGGTGTATGTGAGGAGGATCCAAGCTAATTTGATGTTTTATCTTTAAGTCATCTGAATTAGTAGCAGGACAGTAGAAGCTGGTAGTGACAAGGCTAAAGGTTACAGCAAACAACAACAAACAGCAGTAACTAAGCAGATTCTATGCTTCCATCTGTGACAAATTCCACCAGTCCCTACATATTGGTCTTTATATAGCCATGAGATAGGTGGAATTGTCTGTCATGAGAGACTGCTGATGAGGGCAAGAGGGCAGTGTCATAACACTGCAGCACAAGCATACCTAAGTACTTCCTACACTTGGTAGGGAACAGCTTTCTTGTGGTCTATCCATGAGACTTGTTGTTTTCCATAGTCTGAACTTTCCCTGCATTTCAGGTTGGCTTTTGAAGGATATTAGCCAAGATTTCCATGGCTGGTAGTCACCATCTGGTGGCTGGTGTCATCTGGCTCTGCAGGCCAGAGTGTCAGAGTAGCAGAAACTTCCTTGTAGGTAACAGCACAGTTTATTTCTTTTGTACTAGAGCTCACTGACTGGAACTCTGTCCTAACTTTCAGTCAGGCTTCCCTTGCCCCATTAAATCCACATCTGGCTGATTTGTTATCTCTATTACCATAGGGGTTGTTATTGGCCTCAAAACTGTTTTGTTTTCTTCTGTTTTACTTCTGAATCTGGAGTCTTGTGGGCTCAGAAGCCTTCTGGGAGTCACCTTCATTAATTTCTTTTTAAAGATGTTTTGAGCAAAGGCAAAGTTCTCAGAAGTAGGGGGAGTTGAAAGGAAATGTAGGAGCACTATGCTTACCAGCTCTCACTATGAAATCAGACTTGAACTGGTCTTCAGAATGGTGTTTTTAATTTTCTTTTTTTGTTTTGTTATTTCAGAACAGAACCAAAAATAATCTCAATATTTGCTTTTGCAGCAGCATGGGACAGGAAGCTTATTGAAAAAGAGAAGCAGAGAGGTCTTTACTGCCTGTGGAAAGAGAAGCAAGATTTATATGCTTTGAGAAGGTAATAGAAGATTTACTTGGTTAAGAAGTCCAATAGTCATTGCTCATTTGCATTAACATGCTCTTTCTCACAAGCTGTCACTTCCTGCAGTTCAGCACAAAAATTTCCTGCAGCTCTCTCTTTTCACGGGGAAAGCTAACCTGTCCTTGTTTCAAATATTCATCCTTTCAAAATAAGATCCCATTAATCATAAGACTATTTCTCTAAAGAAACAATTAATTTAGCTGTGCAACAGCAGTTACAATATGTTTAAGTCAAACTGTAAAGCAAGTTTTGTCTTTCCATTGGCATATAACATCAAGCAAACTTGAGTAGGCCTTGTAATCCATAGTGGAGGAACTGCAAAATAGAAAATACAGGACCATACACAATAAAGGCTGAATAACAAATTTGCAAGCAAGGAATATAATGTAGATAATCTTGCTGGGTTGTTTTCTTCTTTTAGTTTTTGTATTTTCATGTTCACAGCTCTACTGTAGTTTGCTGCTGTTCAATTCTAACAACTCATCTGCTTGAGGAGATTCTGTTGTAATGTATCCAGTGGCTGTTCCTGCACCAGGAGGTGAAGGAAGTAATGGACAACATGGGAAACTTATTTTTTTCCTTTTTGTTTTTGGAGCTGTGTTGCTCTGTGCTGGATTTTTTCTTTCAGTCTTTATTCTCCAGTCGTGTCCATCTGGAAGCTTCAGTGACTGTAACGAGGTCCTTAAGGCTGCTGGGCCAGTGCTGGCTGTAACTGGACTGGTTTGTGTTTTACTGGCACGATCAAAGGCCAGGATGTATATAAGACAAAGACAATTGCAAAATGAGCAGGTGTACAGCCTTGTTTTTTGTCGTGGGAACTGTCAGTTTGCCCAGTTTCTCATATTTGGATTCCTGTTTTTAACTAGTGGAATGTTAATTAGCATCCTGGGCATTTGGGTACCTGGTTGCAGCCCTGGCTGGCATACGATACAGCTCAACCACACTGGCACTTCTGACATAGACCTCCAGGGCTGTGGATTCCTGTCGCTTCAAATCTTGGGACCTTTGATTGTGCTCACTGGGTTGTGTTTCTTCGTGATAGCTCATGTTAAAAAGAAGCAAAACATAAATATAAACGAAGACTCCTATGAAAGTGAAGAACATCCTCAGAGCCCTGAATCCTTTCAGGTTACAGTAGGTGAGTAAAAAACGTAGGAACTTTACACTGGGAATTAGTGTGGGGGGGTTTCCACTTATAATTTATATCTGTGTGTTACTTAATTATTATTATTACTTAGTATTAGCTCTAAGCATGTCAGTTCTGCCATGTCAGGACAGATGAAATAGAATAATGTTACTTTGTCTCTTGTGCTCTCTGTATGGTCAGTTCAGTTACGTTTCTCAAAAAGGCAGAATCTCTCTTTGGAATAAAAAGTAAGGTCTGACTGTGTAAAGCAACATGACCTGGCACAAATGAGTCTAACCCCAATTCTGTTCTCAAACTGTGTAATTGACACTGCAGATCACAGACTTCTATGGCTATATTTAAAATCTATTTTAGCCTTGAGCTCTGATCCTTAAACAGAAGATTCTGATTTGTAACCAATGTACTGTATTTTTAAAATTGTAGCCACATTCTCAATTGTAAGAGATGTAATTACAAGTTTTAAACTCTTAAATTACAGAGTGGAAATTGGTAATTTTTTTGCTGTACAATATATTGAAATAGTGAACTGTGTATCAATAGTTGTGGTTAGTGTGCCTTGAACTACAAGTAACTTAGTAGGGAAACTCACAGTCCACAAAATCAATTTTCAGAGACATTAATGACTTCTGTTATAGCGCTGCAGTACTTATTGAGAAACTTAGAATGACTTATTTCTGGGAGGGAAACTAAATACTTTCCTATCCTTAAAGTGTATGTGGGATCATTTATCTTAAAAGCTAGGCAAATAGAAGTTATAGGATGCTGTTAATATAACCAGAGGTGCTCAGATCTTCAGAAGTAGTAATTGGTGTTCTTCCCCTAGGTGATGCTGTGATGGTATTTCCACCCCCACCGCCTCCTTATTTTGCTGACCCTATGTCACCAACTGTGACTCATTGTCTTGTGTCAAGTGTTTTGCCTACAAGTGAAAATCCACCACCATACCACTCTATCTTCAGTGATGGGTAAGAGTGTTCATTTCTGATTTTAGAAATCTGAGCTGTTTCTTTAGGTATCCAAGACCCTGTTCTTATATAATTGCTGTGAATTAACTACTAAGCATGACAAAGTTTTCTAGAGCAACTTATTTCAGATAAGTTACTTGAAATGGTATTAAAATACTGTCATGTACCAGGAGAACACAAACTGCAGAGTGTCCTTCATGAGGATTAAGTTATTATGACTGGAAAGAACTTCTGAAGTCCTTAAATCAGTGCCCCATGGTAGATTTCTCCCACAGATTATCCAAGAGGAGGTGTCACTGACAGCAGTGTGGTAGTGACGGGATAACCATATTGCCAAATTTTAGGAGCCTCTGGCAAGTATTTTATGACACCTACACACAGACACTGAGAATGTTACTTTATCTGCTAGTGTGTTCAGTTCCCCTGTGCCCCTTGTCTCTGCCTTGAGGAACTTAGACCTGCTGTGCTGGTCTACCTTGTTCCTGCTGTTGCCTTGTTTTGAGATGAAAGGATTCCTTGATATCACAGATGGCTCCAGCATGCTGATAAGGGAGGTTGCAAGATGTTGCACCTTATCCTTACATACATGGATTATAACAGAATTGCCCAATATTGACGCCACCAGACTCGGGGAGCAGGAGCTGCCAACTTAACCAAAGACTTGCCTGTGCCACAAGAACTTGGCAGGGTTATTTATCCCTTGTGAGTTACCACCAGTAAGCTGCTAACTTGAGGGTAAAAGAGGTCACTGCAAGGGTCACATACTAGAAGTCAGAGATAGGTGTCATATGTCTGGAGTCCTTAACTTATTTTCAGGCCCTTAATGATTCAGAAAGAACACGATGCAGGGATCCCCTGCTTCTGAATCTGGAGTGTGCTGGCTACACTGGAACGCACTTACAGTCTTAGGCAATTGAGCCAAGGGCTTCTAAGGTAACAGAAGCCAGGAGGAAAACACCGGAGAACTATCTCAAAGGAACTAAGGGGTGTTCCTCTGGGGAGCCAACATGGCCAGCATCTCAGCTAAGGTGTAAAGGCACAGCATGGGCAACAAGCCAAAGCAAGTGTGAGCCATTGTGCTGCTGCAAGGCTATGACTTTGTTGCCGTTCTTGAAATCTTGTGGGATGAATCCTATTTCTGGATTGTGGTGTTTGATAGCTGCTGGCTGTTCAGAAGAGACAGGAAAAGAAGAAGAGGCAGAGGGATTGTTCTTTACAGCAAGAGGTGGATTGAATGTGAAGAGCTGTCCCTGAAGAATATCCATGAGCAGGTGGAAAGCCTGTGGGTAGGAGTCAGAGAGCGAGGCAGCAAAGGGAACCTTTGGCTGGGGTCTGCAAAGGGAACCTTTAGCTGCCTGGCCAAGGGGAGCCCCTTGACCAAACCTTCCTGCTCCAGCACAGGAGGCATTGTGCCCTGCAGGGGGATCTCAGCCACCCTAGCAGTTGTTGGAAAAGCAGCTTGGAGAGCTGTGGCAATGCAGGAGACTGCTGGAATGTGTGGAGGATAACTGCCTGAGCCAGGTGACAGACAGCCCTGCTGGAGGGAATGTGTTACAGGATCTGTTGGTCACAATACAAGCGAGCTAACTGGGACACCAGGAATGCAGGCAGCCTGGGCTGCAGGGATCATGCACTGGTGGAGCATGCATGAGGGATAGGGCTTGGGTCAGGAGTGAAAGTTCAGCTCTTGGACTTTAGGAAAGTAGACTTCCAGTCCTTTGGGAACCTAGTCAGTGGGATCCGCTGACAGACTGCCCTCAGGGACAAAGGAGTTGAAGATCTGGCTTCTTTCTCTCTGCCAGAGAGCTGGCAGATCTTTAAGCAACTCTTCCACAGAACGTGAGAACTGGCAATCCCCAGGAGCTAGAAATCAGACAAGGAGGGTAAGAGACTGGTATGAGTGAGTAGGAACTTGCTGGTCAAGTTAAGGGAAAGAAAGGTGACCTAGGAAGAGTTTAGAGATGAAGCACAGTTTTGTAGGGAGGCCATGAGGAAGACCAAAGTAAAACTGGAGCTGAACCTGGCAAGGGACACATAACAAGTGGCTGGACAAGGTGAAGTGGCCTTAACCTGTACCAGGAAAGGTTTATCTTAGTCATTATGGAAGGGATTTTTTTGTGGAAAGGTTAGTAAAGCATTGGAACAGGCTGCTCAGGAAAAGTGGTGGAGTCGCCGTCCCTGGAACTGTTGGAAAATCATGTGGGTATGGTTTCATGCTGGTGTGGATTTCTTTGTTTTGTGAACATACGTACACAAAGAGGCAGTTTGTTGGGATAGTATCTAGTGGAGTGGATAAAACACCTCAGGCTTGGATAAAGAACCGAAGCCTGACCTTGCCCTGTGGTGTTTTCTGATGGGGATGCTCTAGCTGTTGCCCTTCCATGTTTCCCAGTGTCCTCACAGAGATCTGCTGAGCTGATACCACCTCTGGGGGTTTCACTCAATCCTGCTCTCTCATGGCTCAGCACTTGTTGGCAGTCAGGGCAACTTGACTAGTGCAAGTTGCTTCCTGAGCGCTTTAATAGAAGAGAAGCAATAGCCTTGTTCTTCATAAGAGTGCCATGGTTGAAGATCTCAAATATGGCAGGGGATACACGTATCATATGTTGGTGGCTACTGGACAAAGGTGATTTTCCTCTTGGATCCATTGCTCAGTGTTCTGTCAGCAAGCATTGTGCTGCAGCCTGTGCTGGATGAGAGAGCTGTTAGTAAACTGAGTCATGGTCTTATCCCAGAATTGCTTGCATCTTCCTGCAATCTGTTACTTAGCAGCTCAGCATTTGTCTTGTAGTATTTCTCTCTCCTTTGAAAATGCTCACAGACCAGTAACAGCATTGACGATGAGGTGACTGTGCTCTGTATTTGTACTCCTCACTCAGTATTTATGTAGATACAGATGTATGAGTCAGCTCTGGGAGTGAATAATGACGAGCAAGCAGGTCTTCCCTTTTCTTGGGAAGCAGCTGAAGCAATATGCTGAGGGCCAGCTCCAGGGTGAGATGGGCAAAGTACTAGAACAATGTGGGTTCAACCAATTTTGATCCAGTTATGATGGTTAGAGGAGGACAGGGAATACTTGGCCGCTCACCTTCAATGTCACTGGGAGCTTTGCAGTCTGGTTGTGTCCAGTTGCTTCTGTCTTTCCAGCTATGAGTGGGAATACAACTCCTTATGTCTGCCATAGATTGCTGGAGTGCCTAGAAAAGTTTGATTGCCTTTCATGTAAAATCTCAAAAGGCTAGGGATTATGATTTTTTTTTTTTGGATGCAGTTCCCATTCTAGTAACTGTCTTTTATAAAAGAAAGAGACTGTGTGTATGTGATACACTACAAAAGGAAAGATACATTATGAGCTAGGGATCAGAAGAAGATTTAGTGAGATTGTGAAACAGCACAGCCAGAAGCAGCTAATACCCATAAGCCAGGCTGTGACTGGTGATCTAAAAGGTTAGAAGGGAGTTTGTTTTGCCCTGCCCCTCTGAAATGATAGACTTTTCATATAGTCATAATGTAGCCCACAGAATGAAATCTTAATGCTTATGCAAGTTCTTTGCTTCAGGGATTTTTAGGAAGTGTGTGCGTGCATGTATTTTTATATAAATCAAGTCAAATTTCACTCACTGTAGATAAATGAATTATGCTAATACATTGTTTTGTGTTTTATAGAGCACAGCTTGCTGATGATGAAAGAACAGTTGCTGTTAGAGACTATGAATCCATATATGCAATTTCTGGAAGCAGCTCACCTTCAGTTATTTTACCAGTGCTATACCTTTCTTCTGAATCACCACCAAAATATGAAGAGAAAGCATCAATAACAAATAATGAATATTCGCCATCTTCTTCCTTATCTTTTTCATCTATTTTCTTAGCCACATCTGACACCAGCTCGTAAAGGACTGACAGTTCACTTAATTTTTAATAAAATGTGCACAGATTTACAATTTTTGAATTTATTTACATTTTGTAATAAAAGTAATAATGTTGGCTGTGTCTAATTTTTCATCAGGAAGAATAAACAATGAATTTGGATTTCAAGAAATACTAGAGAAGGCTGGGTCTCTGCTAAAGTAGTCTGAAGGGATTTCACTGCAAGAACATTAAACACTCATCTTGTTCTGTTACAGCTTCAATTTCTATTTATAGCTGTAGAAACCAACTTTTTTGATTATTTCAATTAAATCTGTTTGGAGGTCCAAAGAAAAAATTAATTAGGAAGTGGTTTTATTTCTATTTTTGCATGACTTTTATGGAAAATATTGCTTGCGAAGTTATGGCCTTTTCAAATACTCAAGGAGCATTCACATATAGGGATGTTCAGATTGCTATAAAGATGCTATGAAGAGCCACAGTAGTTACCTTTTGGTCTGCCTGGTAACAAACACTCCATATTTAGGCTATCTCTGATCCTTATGTAAGTATAATCCCTAGGAAAATCAGTTTTAGCTGCAGTTAAGAGCCCAGTGGCAGCCCTGAGGATAGATAGTAGGCTAAAAGTTTAACTGTGGTAACAACTGGTTTCAGGGGCGTTATTCTGCTGGTTTATATCATTATTCATGGATTATACAAGGACTGCTTATTGTGTGCGAGTGAGCACCACAAAGCAATGGTATTTTTGAGGTGCAGACATTACTTAGCAGATGCAGGAGAGGCAGTTTTGTGGAAACCCATGTAACAAATGTTTTTTACTGACATAACACTTGACAGACCCTTCAGAAATACAGCCCTCTTAGCTCTTCCATCCTGCTGCAATCCCAGGGTAGTGGTAGTGGCCTGCCTTCAGGGTGGAGGTTCTAATTCTGTTTTGTGTGTGTTTGCAGCTGTTTCCAAACTGAAGGATTAGCTTGTAGTAGATAAAGATGATTAGGAGGAACCGAGTTGCTGCTATCTTCGGCATCTTACAACTTGCTCTGAATGCTGTTCGAGAAAAACAGATCGGATTCTCTGCCCAGAAAAGTGGCAGGACTACACTTTGGGCTTGGTTCAGGCTGGTGAATGTGCCAGCATTAAGTTGGAAGAGTGATTTCTGAATTGTTCAGCTGAGTCTCTGAACTATGTGCTTTGGGACCTCAGTTACACCTTCACTTGTTCTCTGCCATGCTGGATTTCAAAGAACTTGACAGTAACAGGATGCCAGACTATGAATTAAGAACTTAAATTCCCTCCTGTGTCTAGGGAAAGGTGATTGCATTGTGTAATCTTGCTATGAACGTGCCTCTCATCTGCTGACTGCATTAGAGAAATGTTCAGGAGCTCCCGCATTTGCCATTTCCAATTCTATGTTATTCCATCAGTTATGCTAGGACAGCTCTTTATGCAGCCACACAAAAACAAACCAGCCAGTGAGGGAAGTATATTTAGCCAGCAATAGAGCTGAGGGGCTTATGCATGCCGAGTAATGAGCAAATATGGCACAGAGGGGGATTTATTATGTAGGAGCTGATTAAACTGGCATGACTCAGCCATTGGAAATGTCTGTATGAAGAAAGGGAACCCACAAAAGCCAGTAGGGATTTTGTCCTCTTTTCTCAAACATTTTTTACAGAGTGAGTTTTTCAAGGATGTTTCTCCTTACATGCAATCTGCAATACAAGCTATAATTTGCCATCTTTGTGATTATTTTTTCAAGTTTTTTCTCCTACTGCTTAAACAGTGCGACTCACTACTGTGCATGATTTGTGTGTACAAAGCTTTGCACATGTCTAAGGTGCCTGTTTCTCTCTCAATTTATCTTTCTATCATATAACAAGAACAGAAGCTGGGGTATTTTACTGGAAAGATCCCATGCAACATGTTAGCTTTATCCTGTTGTTCAGAACACTCATTTTCTGAAAAGGCTAAATATCAAAACATGTTTTCACAAATCTGGAAATATTTCACCATCTTAAAAAAATAAATCAGTTACCTCTGGTGGTAAACTGAAAAAGTATCAAGCTGTTCTGCTGTCTTCGATTTGCTCAGTCAGTTGATCCCAAGATACACCCAAGAGACCAGACAAATCAAGCGAAATATGTTGCCTTATTTGAGTTCTCTGTAACAGACATAATCTTGTTTTCCTTCAAGGTTACTGTATTCAGATCATCTACTGCAGAGCCTTCAGTACAGATCACTTTACTTTTATAAAAGCAATCTTTACAGAAACTATGGTTCAGAAAGTGCTGACTTCAGACTTAGCATCTGAGTTTCCTGAGAAGCTGGATGTTACCCCTCAAAACAAGGATTGAAAACTGAATTTATCTCTCTAGGATTTTGAGAAGATGTTTAGGAAATAGATCAGTTTACAGCTGTATAAGCATCTTTTACTTTTGACTTAGAAGATCATTACTTGAAAACTCAGTAGATGTGCTGGTGCCTCTCTACAGACTGCTCGGCACTGAAGTAGTTAACATAGCCAGTGCAACAGTGTTTGCCAACTGCGTTGTTGAAATCTGTTGCAGCAAGGTCAGAAAATGTGAGTAAGAGGCTAGCAAGTCTGCCCTCACCCCTGAAGGCTACCACTGGGTGAATGGCAGTAGAGGGAGGAATTTTTGATGTGGGGAGTAGGAGTGAAATGTCTGTATTAGAAAGGAAGCAACACCTTGTAAAACTATAAAAGTAGCTTAAAATAATACAGAATAGCATGTTTATTGAGGAAGTGAGATACTTTACTGTCCCACTAATGGTGCTATAACCCTCTTTCTACCCTAAGGTTAGCTTAAGTGTTTGACATACAAATGCTAGTGAGCAAGTCAAGGTGGTTACTGATTCACACTTACTTAAACAGGCAAAGTGGGAGGTAAAGATTGCTTGTCCTCTCTAACTGAAGTTAAGGTCTTTCTTCCTTAGTGCCTGCACTGACATTGCTCTACTTCTAACTGCAGCACTGCAATCCTTTGCATTTGAGAGGGATTCACAAAAACATAAATGAATGTCTTTTCTCTAGGAAAAGTCTTTCGTCCTACATCAACAGCAGCTAAAAGAATGAGCAGTTAACTCATCTGAAAAACTGAGATTGCACAGGTCTTTGCGATGTTGCTATGTTTTTGTGATAGCAGCATTTGCTATCACAAGGGGGTGATTGCACCCACACCATCTTTCCCCTTTGTGGTTTGTGTTGCTGTATTCATTTATCCCACTTCCATCCTGTCTCTACAGAATCATGACTTGTAGTGCCAATATCTCCACTTTTCTACAGTGAACATGCCGGACTTCAGTGCAACCCCCTCTATTACCCACACATGCATTTCAACAATTAGGTATGGAAAAACCTTCATTTTGGTGTGCTTGCTCACAGGACAACATTTTCTGGAGCAAATAAAGCCACCTTGCTGGTAAGTGCAATTGTGGGCAGCTGGCTGAATCTGCTCCTCACTATTTATTTGTGCTTTGAGGCTGGCAGTGCAGTAGTTCAGGGGTGAAAGGCCCACTCAGAGTGGTTCTTCGTGTACTACTCTTACACATGTAATTCATATTTTCCACTAAAGACACCATGTGCAGTTATTTTCTCTATGAAAAGGTCCCACTAACTCGAACCACTGTCTCCTTAATCTCCCTAAATTATGGAGTGATAATTTGTACTTACTCATTTTAAAGCTAATCAATGTGCAATACTGTGTGTTATGCAGCTTTTTTTGCATGTTCTTTGACTAAGTCCCTGCTTATATAATTGGCATGTAAGAAAATAAAACCTTCCTACAAGGGGCTGATAATGTGAACAACTGTGTAAAAATAGGTGACATAAGGAGAAGAAAAAAGGGTTAAGTGATAGCCTGTCAGTGTGCACTAGGATGACTCTTCAAATGGGTTAGAGAACAGAGCACCTGCTTCCACCAGCAATCACTGCAGGGGAAGTCTGCAGTGGTAATATAAAATTAGGTGGAGGAACAGAAAGCAAAGCAGTGCTTGTGTTGAAGGGTAAGGTCTGAAGCAGATGAGAAAAAAACTATATTGAGATCTGAAAACAGCATTCATTTTGAAAAACCTCACTCCAATTTTTCTTGGTTTCCCAAAACTCTTTTGCTTAAGAGTGATACCAAGTAAAAGGGATGTATTTAGTGAGTTGACTTTTTAAAGTGAGTCCCCAGAGCACACACTTACTTACAAAGCAAAACACTGGTCTTAAAAAAAAATCAGTGTGATCCCATAATTTCTTAAGACCTTGACAGCTCCCTGACTGCAGCATTACCACTCTCTGGACAAATCATTGGAGAAATATGGGGATGCATAGAGGAAACTGGCTTACGGAGAAAGGACAGTTTACAGGGAAAGGAGTAATTTAGATGTAGATCCTAGCACACCAAATGGAGAGTATTTTCAATCCTATTTTAAAAGTTCAAATGGCATGTAAGTTTGGAAAGGAAAAAGGAATCCTGTGTTCTTCAGCTCTACTGTGCACTTGCTCAACAATCATGAAATCATGTCCTAGACGAGAGGAAAAGAGACAGCTGTGGAATAACACAACACCCAACTTGGAAAATTCTGATTCCAGACAGTATCTACGAGCCATTCAGTGGGATTGAGGAAGTGCTCCAGCACGATCCCATTGCAAATAGCAGTTGCAGAGTTCTTGAATGACTGAAAGGAGCAAGGTGACACTACATCTGTATAAACTATAACCTAGACAGCTATTATAATATAGCATTGCTTTTAAAAGGATGTTGGAAAGCCTGAAAGATTCAGCAGTGGCAAGGATGATTCATGGTATGGAAAAACCTGACTTGTAAAGAGCAGTAACAGTTCATTCCATTAAGTTTAACAAATGTAAGGTTAAAGGTGACTTAAACTTTGGCTGTAATTATCAGTGCAAGGAAATTTTATCTAGTATTTCAGCACTTTATAATTGAGTTGTCATCGCACAAAACCACTGCATTGCAAGACTGATCTCTTACTCAAGAGGTGCAGAGAATCCTGACCAGACTTAGTGTTGTGGGAAAGGCTGATCTTGAGTGTGTTTGTCAGAAAATGTGTTGACACCCTGGGTGACAGTGGTGACTTAATAATGCTGCGTTTGGAAGCTTCACAGGTTTTTTTTTGTTGTTTTTTTTAAGGAAACCAGCATTAATATTCCTCAAAGTCTATGTGCTAAAAAAATGAGAAAGACATCTGCAATTGCATTCATCATCAGTTCTAAAGGTGCCGACTTTGGTGAATAACCCTTTCCAAGAAAGAGCTGTTGTCACACAGTGTGATGTGAATGCACAGTAGACTAAAGGCACTTTTACTGTCTTTGAAGAAGCAGTCTAAAAGGTAAATTTTCTAGTTCTAGAGCTATTTTTAATCTTACAAATCTCAGGATAAGCTTGCTTCCCCATAACTACTGGTAGCAGGAATTAGCATAATGTGTTCTACTGCGTGAGCATAATCAATGTCCTGTGTGTAGTACCCTGCCATGCTAGTCAAAACAGGCAGAGTAGTTGGAGATGTTTCCTCCTTAAGGAATTACACAAAGACATTCTACCAGAACCCTCCAGCAGCAATTACTTTAGTCTGAAACTGTTAGGAAACAGAAAATTTCAAAATTGGATAGTCTGTCTGTTTAATACATGAGACATGAGTTCAGCAGAACAATTAATTGTGATATGAAGAAGTATCCTAGGTACCTGTGAGTATAGGATAAGATTCCTCACTCTGTCAAGTTTAGCATTACAGGAGATGCTTTCTTATTCCTGCAGTGATGTGCTATTCAGGGTACTTGGGCATTTTTTATATAAACCTTAAAACCTACTACAAAAAATGTCCAGAATTAAGGGGAAATTATAGGGTAATTTTACTACTTCAACCAGCTAGAAAGCTTTGACTGTCTTGAAATAAGTTTTCTCCCACAGCCAACTGTTCTCCCAGGCTTCTCAGTGCTCACCATCCTGTTGCCACTTACCCTCCTGCTCACCTAGTGGTTACCCCAGAAAAATACCAGGAACCGTACTTCGCTATTTTTTTAAACCATAAACTGCAAAATGAGCTGCAGCAGAGGTCCAGGCATGACTATAAATGTCATGCTTTAGAGCATGGAAAAGCATTCCTAGCAATGGCCATGTGGAATTTTCCTGCAGAAAATTGAGCAGGAAGTGGAGAGCAAGGATCTCTTCACTGCTGCTGACTAAACATATGCTGTCCATATGTTGGATGCATCAGCTAACTGGGGCCAAGGAAAAGCTGCAATAGCTTCAGCTTGCTTTTTCTGCTATCCAGAATGAGCACAGTATCATGGGTGCTAAATTAAAGAAGAAGCACAAGGAGACAGGCAGTCATGCAGGGGTGAATCCATTTCGGAAGTGATAGTAGTAATTCAAGAAATCTTTAGTGATGGCTTCAGGCTTCACTTCCCAGACCTTTGTTCTTTCAAGCAAAGTTTATTCTTTCACATGATGGACTCTGTTAACCATACACACACAAAGTTCTTGTGTAACTAATCTGAACCTTCGACTTTAAATGCTCTGGCAAGTCCTTTACAAGCCCTCTTTCTCTTGAAGGAGAAGATACGTTATACTCAGTAATGGAGCAAAACAACAACAACAATGTAGAAGATTTCTCCTTGAATGTCTTTTCTGTCACTCCTTGTCAGCCAAGCAGGTCTGATGCCCTGGTGTCAGACGGGGATAAAGCTGGCACCACTCTGCTCTTTTCAGGTGTGTTTTTGGGACTGGTGGGGATCACTTTCACCGTGATGGGATGGATAAAATATGATGGCATTACTCACCTGGAGTGGACTCAGTTACTAGGGCCTATTCTGCTGTCTGTTGGGGTGACTTTTGTTCTGATTGCTGTTTGTAAATTTAACATGCTTACATGCAAACCCTGTAAAGAAAGAGAGGAATATACATCGGAACTTGACCAGGCTGCAAGTGGACAGTCCTTTGTCTTCACCGGCATTAACCAGCCTATAACTTTCCACGGTGCCACGGTGGTGCAGTACATCCCTCCGCCGTACCCATCCCAGGAAGGTGCTGCTCTGAGTCCAGGCTACCTTCATCCAGGGCTCAGCTGCTGCGGTGCTGCTCCCGCCAGCGCCTCGCCGCTTCTCACCTCGGGTTCTCCTCACTTCTGCCCTGCCTACACCCTGGATAACCTGGCTTTTGCAGGAGATGAGAACTACTGTCCTGCAGAGAATTCCAGGAATCAGAGGTACATCTTCTGAAATGCCTTAGTGTGTTTGGACACAGGCTTCTGAATATTTTAAATACTGTGTTTGGTTTCATAAGAAACTATGGCTAGTCCAGGGTATTATCCTTCTCAGACATTTTTTTGTCTTTGTTAAGAATTTTTCTTGAGTGAGAAAACATACTTTTCCTGGAAAGTGTTTTTATACAATTTAAATTCACTTATAAATGCCTTTTGGTTTTCAGTGAAGTATAAATTGGGGAAACAATGGGGTATTCACAAGTCTTTGTATATGCTCAATTCTCCAAAGGCACTTCTAGGGAGAAGCACTGGAGCAGTTACAAGCAACCACTACATTCAAAAATGCGGAGGTTACTCTAGAAGTAAATAATCAAAAGTACATAGAGGTGTTAAGTTTAACATTAACAGCCATTGAAAATAAGGAGGAAATTAGTAAGAAGATATTAAGTCAAGTATTTCCCAGAGTATGAACCTCTGATGTACTGGGGAGGAGTAATTTTTCACCATCCTTTATGTGTACAATACCCAAGATGATTTTTTGTCTTTTTTTTTAATACACCTTTTATATAACTTTTTTATAGTCTCAGTATTCTTAGCATGCATGCTTGTAATTCTTCAAGTCTGATAACTCAGCATAGTTCTGGTATTCTGTTAGGCCAGGAGACCAAACATCATAAAGGCCTCATGGTAGAAGGCTGGAAAACCCTACATTGTCTTGGGAAACCAAGGTCCTCTCTATAACATATCCTGTAAACTAGAGATTCAGCCCATCCAGGGGGGAATTCCACAGATGAGGGAATATCATGCCATCCATCCAGGCCTCCCATTGGGGCACCCCTGCTAGATATGCTAATTTGTGAGGTCTATAAATTGTATATACCATCTATCATGGGGGTGCATTGTGGCACATTCCACCATAAGGATCCTTATTAAATACTGAGGTAAAACCCCTTTATCCCTTAACCGTGTCTGGCTCTCAATTTTTTAAGACTAGGAAAAGGCATCATGTAGAGCCAGAGACTTTGACTCAAACACAATCACAACATATGAGTCAGCACACAAACAGCATTTCTGCAACAATTCAAGAATCAGTCTGGTACCAGATGCTCTCCTGAATACACCTGGTCACAACATGCTGCTCTCCCACTGTAACTACTTTACAGCTCTTCCTCTTTTCCTAGTTTTGAGGCATAAACAATATCACTCACGTTGCACAGCAGTATGGAGCTACTCAAATTGTACACAAAATAATTTTATATAGTTCTTTCCTCCCAGGAAAAATATTCTAATTATAGGGATTACTCATAATTATAGCCTTTCTACAACACAAGTCACTGTTAGTTCATTTATCAAAGTCTTTTCGAAAAACTGCTGACCCATTGTCCTCAGCAATACGGATGACAGGCATAGGCAGGGTGAAGACAAAAGTCACCTTCTGACACTTCTAAACTTCATGAAAAAACAGCAAACAGCTGAATCTCAGTAAAACTTAATCTCATAGCATTTTCTCAAGAAGCTGGAGAGTACTTTTACCAGATAAGGCTGAGAGGGTGAAACACTGAAGTTACATGAATGCTCTGTGTTTGGTAAATTCTTTTTGTATCTGCTCCTCTTCCTCTTTTCAGGTCAGAAGACAGTTCTGATGAACCAGAAGGACTGCTGGAAGACTATGCCCGTAATAACTTGTCACCTCCACGTTATGAGGAAATATACCCTTTTTCTTCATAAGATCATCATGGACAACAGATAACAATCCTAAGAGATGCTAGCAAGAATCCCAAAAAATCTTTTCTTTAAACACTTGTGTGATAAGACAGTGTGGGCAAGTTCTTGATATTCATACACAGGATCACTGAAGATATTTAACTGCCCCCTTCCTTTTTCTCTGTTAAAATTCATTAGCTCTTTGCAAGGCAGCTTAATAGCAGAGCTATTAATTATTCAATGGCTAAACTATTAATAGCAAAGCTGTTAAACTCAAGGATCTAAATCCATATTAGGATTCCCAACAAGAAGCTTGATTATCAGACTTGCTGAAACCAGGGTGAGCTGTGATGTGGACGATCATGATTGCTCCTGGACATTCAGCATCCTTAGAAAATATTTTATTTTTTCTTGAGGTATTTTCATTATTGATTGCTTGGGAAAGTTCAAAAGTGCTCAAGTGTCTGATCCATTTTGTCTGAATCTTTAGAAGAACTTACTCATTAGTAAGTCCAGTCTACAGATTAGACTTTCTCAGCTTGCTTTACCTGCACAACCAGTCCTGTTGCACAACCCATTCCTGTAGGCATTTTTTTTGAAGCATCCTGCTTGAACCACAGCATCTCAGAACAGAGAAAACAAACAGTGATTTTTGACAACTTTCACATAGATCTCTAAGATATCCTGCATGCATCAAATTCAGTTCCCTTGTCTGATGGGAAGAAAAGCATGGTCTCCCACCGGGAGTCCTAATAACTGTGAAGTTAATGTCACTAAAGAAAATGGCATCTTTGTGAAGCCTCAACAGAGATATGGGATCCTGCCACCATTAAGGACTTTGACAATCACAGCTGCTGCACCCCACACTGTGGTGAAACACCTCTGAGGTCCCTTCTTATTTGAATTTGGGTCTTAGGCACACAGCCCAGGCTGCAGGTTGCCCCAGTATCTAGGCAACTGTGGGCTGTAGTAGACTTTCTTGCTCAAGTTCAGCTTGCTTCCATGCATGGAATTCACAGAAATTTGAGATAAACTCATTTGATTAGAGAATGGTGTTGCTGAATGCCAAGACTTTGGGTTTGATCCCCATATGAGCCATTCACTTAAGATTTGGATTTGATGATCCTTGTAGGTCCCTTCCAATTAACAATATTTTGTGATTCTGTGAAATATATTTACAGCTGTATTTAACAAAAGAGAAAGTGTATCAGCTCCGAAATTTTTCAATCCAGAATGAAGATCTAAGAGGCTTTGCTCAGGAGCTTTTTAAACCCCAGAGCAATGACAATGCTTCAAGTCCCTACATTTTTATTTTGTTTTTCAATATATATTTTAGGTCTGCTTTTGAATGTGCCTAGAAGTGCAAAAAGCCAGTATTTCCCTATGATGATCCCATTAGGTTTGCTGATCTCCCTCAAGGCAAAAGCTGATCTCAGTTCTCATCTGCTGGGGTGGACACCACACAAAACACCCTGGAGGGCAATGGTCTCTGTCCAAAGTAACCAAGTGGTGCATTTCTGGTGTGCCTGTGGGTCAGTCTCCTGGCCTGGCACAGCACAGCTAAAAGCAGGCATTCATTATGGAATGCATCAACTTTCTCTTACTTGTCGATGCTGCTGTCCTGGCTCTTGCCAGATTTCATCCACCTGTGATTGATCTCATTCCTCAGAGCTGGAGAAACTTGGAATTTGAGCACAGACAGTTGCACACTAATCTGATGTACCTGACATCTGGAAGTCTTGGAGTTTCTGTGCAGCTGCTGTAGCATCAGGAGCCATGGCTCTGGATGGAGATGTGCATTCAGAACATTGTCTACATTGTCCAGCTGTATCGACCTGCGGGTGCACACCTCCCTGTCCTGTACACTTAGACGCTGCCAAGAAATAAACCATTGAGGGGGGGATGTGCACAAAACAACCACTGTGCTCCACAGTGACGGACAAAACACTGCCAGAGGTCATATTTGGGACACGACACTTAAACAGTCTCAAAGCTGGATTAGCAACTGCAGCAGCAGCTACTGAAAAGTGACTGCAAACTTTGTGTGGGGTTTTTCTCATTAGAGAAATATGGAACACACTGGTTTTTAGCAGTGGTGGCCTGGTGTTAGCAAGTAGTTGGAGAAGGGGAGGCACATGTATTTGGAGAAGAGGAGGCACGTGTAGCTGGAGAAAGGGAGGTATGCTGTGTTCAGCATGATCTCTATGAGACTGAGTGAGAACAGACGATCTAAAAATAAATGCAAGTTTCTGTTATGGAAGTGTCTTGCTCCTTTTCTGAAATTTACAGGGGTGAATTCATCCTCCCTCTATGGCAGGAAACTGGATGGTCCCAAATCCCCAGTTAGTTCCACATGTAGAGCCCTGAACTTACACATAGTTGTGCTGAATCCATCAAGCACTGCAGTAGCACAGAGGTCAGGCTTGATGGATCCAATTTCTGCCCAGTCACCCTCCCCCACCACAAAAAAATAAATTCCTTCAGTCAGACACCACAGATTTTTTTTCCTGCTGCTCTTCCCTGCTCCCTCCTGCCCACCCCCCCGCCCCCGCTCCACTGGCATAAGTTTCATGAAGTAATAATATATTTAATTTTCTTACATCAAATAATACTGAAGAGTAAATGGAAGAAAACTCAGAAGGGTGCACTGTGGACTCCATATTGATTTTGAAGTTTACTTCTAGCTGCACTATATTCATTGTAAATAATTTGAAGATTCCTGGGTTTCTCTTTAAAAAGAAGATTTAATATTAAGTTTAAATAGCTATATTGAAATTACTTTGACCCATCACATGAATTCTGGCTGAATTCCGTGGGAGTCTTTTGAGAAACTCCAGGGTGGTGACATTTCCTTACTGTACTGAGTGCTGATCATCGATTTTAAGAACAGAGATGTGTTCTATAAAGGCTTTTTCTTCCTTCTCTTCCTTCCACCTTCTACTTTCATCCTTTTTTTTCTGTTTTAAGTCTTTTTAACTTCAGGGTTTGGGGGTTGTTCTATGTGTGTTTGTTTTGATTTTGGTGGTCTTGTTTGTATGCTTGTTTTTACTGTGATATATAACTATCAGATGAACTCACTTCTTAGCATTTAGAATTCTTTCTACCCTATGATGAGTGAAAGAACAAACTTTCTTGGCCTTCAACCAAGGTGAACTGTCACAGCCCTTCTAGATTATACTGTTGTAACTTCATAAAGCACCTGGAAGACTGTATTCGAGATTTTACTCAATCCATTTTTAATTTAAGGTGGTGCTCTTTAAGCAAAATTGCCTTCTCCCACATTGCAGACCTGCAGAATATTGGGGATTTAATAGTTTAAGATGTCTTGCATTCTAGTCCTAGTGATAGAATGTTGTATGCATTTTCAGCTATGTAACCCTGTGTGGGTTCTTGGGATTTTTCCTAATATAACTCTACTTATAAGATTTTGATCATAAACTAGTTAACATATGAAATCACTAGAGACATGCCTATTGATATGAAACTGAGCATGATGTATTCATTTCAGTAACAACACTGCACAGAGCTTTTCTAAGATCAAGGACCTGTTTCCATACATTGAATGCCGTATGGTGCAGCGTGCGAATTACTTCTCAGATTAAATTCGAAGTCTGCTTTTTCACACCGGTGCTGTCGTACCTGCGGCCGGTACGGAGGTCAGCCAGGAGGTGTTTGGTGCGCTGTGCTTTAGCATCACTTTACCCCAGCAGCCGAATCTCACCAGCTGCTGCCGTTCCGCGAGGGATGCTGCCCAGCACAGACCACGCACGGGCGAGGGCGCTGAAATCCTTCGAAGAGCTATTTTTAAACTGAATCGGGATTTAGGAAATCTGGGTCTCGGGGAAAAAAAATAAACCTGTAAGTAGGGCTCGTTCCTCTCCAGAGAGCCCTGGTGACGCACACGGCAGGCCCTCAGCACGGCGGCCGCTGCCCGCGGGGAGGATGCTGCAGCCTCCATCCCGCATGGAGCCCGAGCCCCGCTCCCTGGGGGCCGTGCCCGGCTGGACCGCGGCCGAGGGGCTCCCCCCGGGCAGGAGCGGTGTTTGCCCGGCTGTCCCCGTGTTAGCGTTCGGAAACACATAATCACGGGATATGATTATATGCAAGTGCTTTTATTAAGAGCTCTGGGAGTCGGAGTACAAACTCAGATCTGACTCCGCCATAGGTTTGGAGCTGAACGTATTTTATACCCTATCTTTGTATAACTTACACATTAATTATTAAACTTACATTGTTCTATTGTATACATTGACATGAGTTTATAGTGATCTTTCTTAGGTCCATGACCACAGTTTCAATTTAATTACTAAAGAGTCGTCACATCTAACAGTTATATCAATTATCATGTACTAGCTACATAGTACTATTTCTCCCTGTGCTAAAGGTATTTACCTGTCCAAAACCCACTAAGTTGTTTTTTTGTTGTTGTTGGTTTTGTTTTGTTTTGGTTTTGGTTGGTTTTTTGTTTGTTTGTTTGTTTTTGTTTTTGTTTTTGGGTTTTTTTTGTTTGTTTTGTTTGTTTGTTTTTTGTTAACCCTAAATCTCATGATTGTAAAACCCTTTTACTATCACCCGGGCAGGAGCGGTGTTTGCCCGGCTGTCCCCGGGCAGGAGCGGTGTTTGCCCGGCTGTCCCCGGGCAGGAGCGGTGTTTGCCCGGCTGTCCCCGGGCAGGAGCGGTGTTTGCCCGGCTGTCCCCGAGCAGGAGCGGTGTTTGCCCGGCTGTCCCCGGGCAGGAGCGGTGTTTGCCCGGCTGTCCCGCCGCGCCAGCAACGCCAGAGGGCGCCGGGGCCGCCGGGGCGCAGCCGCGGCTGCGGAGATGCCGCCAGCGCGGAGATGCCGCCGGCGCGGCGGCTCCGAAGGCGCCCCGGTCCCCTCCTCTGCTCACCCGCCCAAGTTAAAACTGTGCGGGTTTAAGGAAATGTGTTCCCCCACTGACCCGACGGGTGTCAGGGGGGCACAGCTGGCAGTTTGTGAGCGGCCCCGCGTTGTGAGACAACCGGCATTTCAGCCCGGGGAGCCGAAACTTCGAATACTCAAGACGCCGTTGAAGATTATCGTTGAAGTTTATCCTGCGCTATCTCACAACCGAGAGTTATTCAAGAACAAAATACTCGTGAAAGACCCAGTGAAAACCCCAGTGAAATCGCCGAAGAACAGGGCACCCATCCCCGCTCTCAGAGCAGCTCTCACACCCCTGGTCTCACATCTGGGGGGACTGCGGCTTGGGGGTAGGCGCTGCCTAGTGCACTGACATGCACCCCCGTCTCTTCTCTCCGCTGTGACCTAATGGGACAGGCTTCTGACTGCATGAAGGAGCAGGGGGAGTCCAAGGGTCATTTGCAAAGAACTGGGGCATGCTCTTTGTATACAGCACCTAGATAACCTCTGCCTGCTCCAAGTATCATTACTGGCTCCACTTTAGCTGTCAGGCTGAATAGACGTCAACAGGACTTGCTGAACGTCGCTGTTGCTGCCCCATCCCCAGTGTGAATCAGTGTGTCTGTCACAGAAGCATACAGCAGAGCCAGGTGGGATCCCATGGGATCCCTGCATTAGCTGAGCAGCGCTGCTCAGCGGGAGAGGGCCTGAAAGGGAAACAGCAGGCGCAGAGAACTCGGTAACCACATGCACTGCATGTTGGAGAGGTTTATATCAGACTTACTCCTGTGGACTTGATGCTGATTAGCAGTTGAAATACACATTGTTCTCCAATGGTGTATTTTCTGGTACTGATTCATCCGACAGAAATTATTCGCCTCACACCTGTGATTGATGTGATGCGATAATATGATGAAAAGCTTCACAGAGCGAGTGAGGAGTGTAGGAAGTATCTTAAACAGCATCTGATTTAGAGAAACTTGTTGCCCTGCAGACTAGGATGACTTGCAGCAACTGCAGGAGTTGCAGGTTGTAGAGCAGAGGCTTCTCTCAGCTTCCTGAAAGCAGAGAGCTCGTGGGAGACCCTTTCCCGGCACTGACAGAGGTTACTTTGAAAGATCTCACAGTGTACTCCTGACATCTCCAAAGGTACAAATATCCTAATTTTGAGATGTAGCAGGCTTGTGCCTTCCTGAACAATAATTGCAAAGTGATGAAGAAGTATTCCCATGGGGAACAGGCAAAATTACTCCCTAGCTCTTGTGGTTTTATACTTCATTCCTTACGTGATAACAGCACAGGGTCAAGGGTAAATCAGCAGTGGCATGGTTGTATCTGTGTCGTGTGTGGCATCTCTAATGAGCAATTGATTATATCTACACACGTTATTTAGCAAACACCATGGGACATGTTCTAGCAGAGTAGCTGCTGTACTCTTATAAAACCCTAGGATGAGATTAATGCTCTCCTGTTTGTGTTATATCATGTCAGATTTTTTTTTTTAAATTGCTTATTTTTGCAGATGAATCATCACTCTATATGCAAGATACTGTGCTTCCTTCTTAGGGAACAGGGCATGCTATTTAACAGCCCAGAGTAGATGACCCAATAATTTCATGTTTTGCATAGCTGCAGCGTCCTCTTTACTTACAGTTCAGTGGGTTTGCTCAAGAGCTTAGCTCTAAGGTAAAGCTTCATGCTCTGTCAGCTGTATACCTAAAGAAATACAGAACAATAATGCAGTCCAAGGTCATGACTTTTAAAACAAACTGATGAACAATCAAACACAAAAAAAAGAGGTGTGTATTTTAAATTTCTCACCATGAAACTGGCTGTAGCTTCCATGTTAATGCCCACTGCTTGGGGTACCCTTCTTGTTTCTCTGCTGCTCTGCAACACAAACCTAGCCAGAAAGAGTCAACACTGGTGTTCAAGGCAGCATTGACTTGTCACATTGCCTTTTGTCCCTAGGCACCTGCCACCCACCCCCGTGCTCAGCTGACAGAGCTTTGCCCCACACAGAGGTCTGGCAAAAGCTGGCAGTTAGAAAAGGCTGTGATTCTTTGCTATTTTTGTTTTTCGCCATTTAACATGCCATCTTCTGGATTTATGTAGAGCAGGACCATAGCTGCCACAGCACACACATCATGAAAACTTCCATTATCTTTTTCAAAAACCACATGCATTAGATAACCATTTGGCCTTACTCTGCTTAAACCCTATTAAGGGAGAGAATAAAATAAACTAAGACTTCATCAAGAATTCATCTCTTCTGAACTCTAGAGGTCCTGTAGAATTCTTTTTTTGCCACAAAACAGCAGTTCCCTGCAAAATCTTTCATGAAAATGTAGGGGAAGAGACAAATTATTGGAAAT